AAATGGAAAGGTTGTCCCATCCTACCTCCTCTAGCAGGGGCCCAGTGCTAGGATCATAAATGGAAAAGGTTATGATCATAGCCGTGCGATGTTGTATGGTTTTGAAGCTTTGGAGCTAGATCTGAACCAAGAAGCCTCCCAGATAACACTGCAACAGTCAAAGAATGGTTAGATAAAAGAGTTGTACATTGTTTGCCGGGGCCAATGGAGGAACAAATTGTCTCACACGCTTAAGCGCTCCTAGATCCTACAAACAATTCTTCTGCTTTTGTGCTGTTAGTAGCCGCTGGGTATATTTTCGGTATTGTCATTGGCTTTTACATTCTTCTGATTTTTCATGCAAATGGATTTTCAAACCTTATTTCTCTTTTTGCATAGTCGAGTCCACACATACACGCCCCTGGCAGCCCCTACTGCCCCGTTGCCTTGGGCTTCCTCCACCTTGCAAGGCGCGGGGCATATCTCAAGAGCCCCATAGAGGCGTGGACTTCAAAAAACTTTCAAAAACGAGAAGGTGTGGCAGAGTGGCCGCTATTTTGTCAAGTGGATACATCCAACCAAACTCTAATAGACTACGAGTAGTCCCCCATTTTTCCTCAGGGATAGTAGAGCGAGCAAAACGCGAGCGCGCGTGAAAATCAACCCACGCGATAAAAGGCGGCACGCGGCGGGGAGAGAGAAAAATAAGGGACTACAGACAAAGCCCAATCTTTTGACCCTTCACGGCCGACTGATTTCGGAGTGTGAAGTTCGTATCCCCTTCCAAATCAATTAAGCGCATCCAATGGGATTCCTTCCCTCATTGAGCTGTCATTGCTCTTGTCATCGGTAAACTGCGGGGGATACTTATGGCAAGCAAAAGAAAACCCAGATACTAATTTTCTTGACGGTTGTTTCGCGTGAAGAACTGGATAGTGTAGGCAACACACGACTTTTACTCATGCCAAAATGCTGCTTGTTGTAATGAATTTTTTTTCTTTGACGGATAGATTATGCTTTGGAGGAAAACGTTCTGACTGAGCAAATGTGATTTTTGCCGCTTATTTCATACTGAGAGGTCGTGACACGCATATTAATTTTCTGCGGTTATTGTTTATGGTCGGCATGATTTTGCCCACTAATGCAAGAGCATTTTATTTCACCTCTTTTGAAAAGTAAAGCTCTTCAATGCGGTTAAATAAGGGTTTGGGGTTGTTTAGTTTCTCCGGCGATTGCCTCGTGGATCTGAATCATTTTAAGCGATTTTCTTTTTGGCCGTGAATGTGACGGTTTCCTGCAATGTTTTGTCACGCTGGGCCCAGCTTGTTAGCGTTTTTAGCAGGACGGATAGCGATATCCCAATCTCGAAGAATGGATTGCAGCTTAAACTAAAACTACATCAACTATGGAGAACTGCGATGTGACTCAGTCATGACTGCTCATGAATTTTAACTGCCGCTTGTTTTTCTGGAGATAATGTAAGTATTTGGACTGGAGTGCGTAGTTCCTCCCTTGGTGATAACTTTTGAATAAGCTTAACAGCCTTGCGACTGTTCTGTTATTCAATTCCCACTTTGTGATCAGACAAGACCATGGTTTCGGTTCTCCACGCGAACCTCATCAGTTGCCAGGTTGGCTTTCTTCTTAGTTGCTTCTACAAGAACAACTCTGACTAGTTATTTGTTCTTTGCTGTTATTAGTTCTGCTCTAGTTATTTGTTCTGTAAATTGAGATTATGTCGAGTGTTGATAGCGGCTGGCGCGTTTTTGACAGATGTTGACAGATTTCCATGGAAGAGCCAATCAGAGTTTCGCGTTGTGAGAGCAACACATTAGTTCAAAAGCTTGGGCTTTGTCTGTAGTCCCTCATTTTTCTCTCTCCCCGCCGCGTGTCGCCTTTTCTCGCGTGGGGTGATTTTCACGCGCGCTCGCGTTTCGCTCGCTCTACTATCCCTGAGGAAAAATGATTAATATTTTAATAATTAAGTTGACCGAGCAGAGGGGAGTCTGAGACCAATAAATTATAATAGCAACAAAGATGGAACAGCTTTCAACGAAATCTAGCATGGCCTAATGGAGACAACAGATGGCAACAGATCTGGAGGTTGGAGGTTCAAATCCTGGTGAGTACAGAATGAGGTTGCAAAAAAGAAGGAAATTGTTACTGAGTAAGGTAAGGGCAAAGTTGTAACTGAGTGGTAAGTTCCTGTCAAGGGGCTATCAGGGGTAGTTGATAAGAAACTGAGGGGTAGTAGGGTAGGGTTAGAAACTATGAGGGGGTTGGTGGAGAGAGTGATGCGGAAATTTACTTGTTTATTCTTCTTGCATCTAGTTCTTTTTCTTTGACCCCCCCTAAAAAGCCAAGCCCCTATTTTTTATCCACACCCCAAAAAATTAAAGGCCCTTTTTCAGACAGTTGATTAAAAACTGATTTACAAAAATTAAACCGGTTTTAAAAAAAATTAACTGGTTCAAAAAAATTTAACCGGTTTAAAAATATTAAACCAGAGGTAAAAATTGAGCTACAACATATACACATATTTCATTTACTTTAACTCAGCTTCTGCGGAGAAAAACTAAACATCCTGTCTCTCTCTATTACAATTTACAAAGGCCCTTTTTGAGGTCTTCATATTTGGTGGTGATTGTATAAGGAGGAAGTTTGCATTTCCAGTGGTAAGTAAACATGTGTATTCACCGAATGAGTGTTTATCTTTACCTGTGTGCCATGTTATTTGCCTCAGGTTTTTCATGCCTGAAAACAACCTCCATGGACACACCATGGTGTCCGCTTTGTGATTCTAATGGGCCCCTAAAAATTTTTTATGATTATTGGGTGGAAACTCAACTAAGTACTACTCAAAGACTTCCCAGAGGTCTTCTGGGATGAAAATGTTGAAGTTCATAGGTCTGTGCACTGTATTCAGTTTCATTGTTTCATTGCAAAGGAAACACCTAACTTACTTAAAAATACTGGAAATTGGTATTTGCATCATCATCTCAATAAAGCGGCTAAGGTGAATGAGTGTGGAGTCTCAAAGTCCAGAAATGTGATATGGACCAAAAGCACAAAGTACCAAATTATTGCAGTCAATGTTGCTATGGTCAGGTAAAGTCAGGGAAAAATGAAAATTTCTCAAGTTCAGGGAAAAGTCAGGGGAGATCATTGACATTGTCAAAGCCCGGGGGGGGGG